AAATTTGATTTCTCATAGATTCTTCAACCAAATTCACTCGGATTTTCTATTTAGTCTTGAAAAATTGCAGTCTTTAAAAAGTAAAAAAATGTATACCATTTTAATTTAATTTTTTTAAGTCTAATATTAAATAATAAAAAAATAATAATATAAAATTAATAATAATAATAAAATAATAAATAATAAGTATTTGCTAAAGGCTAATTTTTGCATGGAATTATCTTTAAATAAATGGATTTTATACTTGTGTGCGAAATTTTTTCAATTCTTCTAAAAAGCTCTCCAGATACAGTGAAATACGCAAAAAGTAAAATTAACAGGGGTCAAAACTTCGAACCGCTCTCCTGGCCAAAATATGTGGACCATATTTCCCAGATTACCACTTCCCCCTTATTTTTGAGGGTCAGAAATCCGAATCTATAGAGAGAAAAAAAAACGTATGCTTATTCAGAGAAAGTACGTTTTTGTGACTGATTTCGCTACTTAATTATCATATTTGAGGTCAATTCCTCAAACCATTGAATTTGAGTCCTAAAACTTTAGGATCCGATCATCAGATCAAAAGTTATTCAGAGTGTTAGTTTTTTATTTTGCGTACTGTATATGACTTTTCAAATTTTTTTAAAAAATTTCCAAGCAGAATATTGACAATTCTAATTGATTTTTCAAAATTCATATATATATATTTATCAATAGACCCTGCATTAATGTGTTAAAGAACTGTCAAATTCAAAGTCCTTGAAAAAACTTCAACATTTCAACCCAAAATACAAAATAATAATAATAAAAAATCTAAGCTACATTCAACCGATCAATATTCTTTTTTTTCTCCCCCCTTGAAAACCTACTACACCCGACGCTTCCATTTTCCTAAGGATAAAAACCGGCAGCCGGTTTTTGAGAGTAGAGAAATATTACTTTTTGCGGTGATTGAGGTAGCAGGATATTTTTTTTCTTCTTTTTCTTTCTTTGAGGTAAAGAAGAATGAGGTATATCGGTTCGGGTAGAGGGCGTGTTACATCCATTTTCGATGTAGACGGGTACTTCCATTCCCTCCTACTACCCGGGCTGTCAAAAAATACCCTCCTCCCACGTCATCTGACATATGACGGGGAGCAGATTGACACGGAATAAATGGCTCGATCTCTGCTCTCTATAACTCGCATCTCGCCGTTGATATATATATAAAAGTATATATAAAATCCCATATTCCTTTTTTGGATTCTTAAAGCTACATAGAACGCCAAAACTACTTATATTTTAAAGTAAGGGAAACATAGAATTAAAGATAGCTTTTTCTTTGGGTTCTATCTAACCATATCCGCTTGAAGTTATTTGTAAAGGGATGAGGAAAGTTTCAAATAAGGTTGGGGATTTGATATAAACAGGAGGGAGGGGAAAGAAATGGTCGTAAGGAGAGTGCTTTTGCTTACTTTGAATTAATTCTATTTTTTTTATCGCGTAGGTTACATAAATTCCGCTTGCAACAACGCGTTTTTATAAAATTCTCAGAAATGTTGTTAAACATTTGTGGTCATTTAAGTAAGAAATACCCGTATCTGAAGTCCCTGTATACAGGAAAAAATACAAATATACTTTAAAGCATTAATATAGGGAAATGTCTGGTGAATTAAAAAGTCGTTAATTTTTATTGATTCTTGTATTTTGTGTTAGTAATGAAGATTTATGACAGGAAAAATTATGATGAACCTTCGAAAATAAATCATTATGTCAATGGATCAAACAAATCACTGTTGTGCTGCAAAATCTTAAAATCCTTCTTTAAATTTTCTTGCTTTATAAAAGTAACAAGTAATCTCTAAAAAACTTTGTTTTTGAATAATTAGATTAATTAAACCGTAGATAGATAGGTACTTCATTTACGCCAAACTAAAGCTGCACAATGGGCTATTGGCGATGATCTGGCAAACACCTCAGAGCTGAGGATGATCCGAAGACATGCCATCACAAATCTGATCCTTTGCAGAGGGGATGATTCCCGTCTTAGGTAATCCGACGACCTGTGAACGAAGTCACGCACTTTACGGAAGAACAGTTTAAAGAGGACCGTTACTGCACACATTTGATCTACGCAGGCTGATCAAAGTGGTCACCTTTCCGCTAACTGACCGCAACTAGTGATGCTTGACTTCAGTGTTCTACTAGGAACCGTGTCTCTACGATCAGTCCACAGCGGGACTAATCAAAATGTACTTAAAACACTTAGGTGGCTATGGGGTGTAAAGACGAGTTAAAAACATCAAAGGAAGACACGTCGTTCAAGAATCGACTTTGCAAGAAGTTACATCAGGGATGAAGGGAGCAGTGTAACGATAAGAAATTTTTTTATATTGTTCAAGTAAGCGTTGCTGGGAGAAAATACCGTACTTCCGAGTGGGTTGTTGTGTTAGAATTTCGGAAACTTGTTAAGTATTCATTTGAAAACAATACTAAAAATTAGTTTATTGGCAGTTATCAACGAAATCGATTCTTTATTTGTTAAATTAAGATTTGTTTTTCTTTCAAAAATCAATGCTTTAATTAAAGTTAGGCCAAATTGTTATTATTTTTCGCTTTAAAGATGGTTTGTGAGCAGCTTTATGTGCAGAAGTGTTAAGAACTTTTTCTTTTTCAAAACCTGGAAGAATGAGAGAAAGGATGCATACGTTGTGGACGAATTTGAAAATCCTGCACTTTACAATTGTCACCGGTGTTTAGCAATGAGCCTGTATAAATGGAAATGCCTCCATTTTTATTTAGCCTGATATTTCAGACTTATAGTAATTTCACGACAGGTGACTTTAGGCGTATTAGAAAAAACTTTAATAACACAATGGAATTGAATTTACTCTAGGCTTATAGCAGTAGACCAGCCCTCGCTACTACAGGCTTATTGAAACGGTCTGAAATCAGGCGAACTGAGCTATGAAAAATGCGCTTTCTGTTTAGTTAAAAAGCATCTAGTCTCGTTGCAATCAGATATAAAAGTGTTAGGCTTAATGGAAAATACTAGAGTGTTTTTCAACCAGCCAAGAAAAAGGCGCTTTTGAATTGCAAAAGTAAAGCAAAAGCATTGCAAAATATCAGATCTTTTTCTTGTCCACGACTTACATATAATAATATTATATATGATGTATAAACAGAAAGGTATAATTTAAGAACAAACTTAAAATAAGAGAGAAGTTAAGAGAAAACTTTAAAATCCTTTTTATAACAATTTCCATGTCATGCAAATATGTCTATCGCGATAATGTAACAATGTGAAATAAATAAACTTATCTCAACATCTATTACTTTATATCCCAGTTGTTTTGATATTTATGTACGTAAGTAAAAGTATTCCTAAACCTTATATAATTTACTTGTTGATTCATGCATATAAGTATGGCTGCTTATATTTTAAACTATGGATAACATTGGATTAAATAAAGTTTTTTTGTTAACGTTTTCAATTTTATCTATAAATCTGTTCGTAAAGTTTAAAATAAAATAGGGATTTGAGATAAACAGGGGGAAAAGAAGAATAATCGTATGAAGACGTTTATTTGTTATTTTTTCGATTCTAAAACTCCCAGAGGTTTTAGCTGTATCTTTTTACAAACGGTATTTGTTTTTATTTCCAACATTCAATAATGGTGAATGCTGTTACTATTGTTATTTATTATTATTGTTCGTTATTATTTGTAACATTTAATAATGGTAATGATATTTTTATAATTAAAATGTAACATTTGAATACGATTTTCACGTATAAAATGAAGTGTACGCTTAAATTATTCAATATTTTGAAATATAAAGTCTATCAAAACAGGGGTTAAATAAAAGAATTTATTTGAATAATTGTAATAACTCTACACATTTAATATGATTTATTAAACTTACTTATTTTTGGTACGTACGAGTATAAAAATCTTAAGAGGAATTATTTAATTATTTTTTGCAAGCCAAAAATTGTGAGAGAAACCTGAAATTTATCGTTGAGATTCATAAACCTTCAATATTTAATTTTTAAAATTTTTTTAACCAATTGTTTTAACTTTAATATTGTTTTCATCATTATTCTAAAATATTTTTTTGGTAATTCTTTTGGTTTTTTCCTCTTAACATAATTTGAGTGCAGTCACTATATTTTCTACCTCTATTTTTAAATTTAATTTTATTCTATACTTGAATGAATATGAAAGTAATAACTTATATCTATTGCAAATAAAACTAAAAAAACTTAGCATAGTTATGTTGTAGCGAAATAATACAATATAAATACAACGTCAAAATTTTGCAAGAAACCACTACTTTCTTTTCTTTCATTAAATATTGAAAGTTCTTATAAATTCCAGGCATCAATTATTTTTATTTAAAAAATCGCATCAGGTATCAGGTTTTATATTTATGCATCAGTTGAGGAAAATGTTAAAATTTAAAAAAGTTGAAGTTCAAGAAATGGTTGTAAAAGCTAAAGAAGAGCCAAATGATTTCTATGAAGACAGATAACTCAATCACAACCAGTGCAAACATTTGTGAAGGCCTCAAAGCCTATCTATGAATAAGGAACTTTTCGTAGTCTTTCGAAGAAACAGAAAATGGACAGCAATCTGTTCCAAAATTTATTATTTGTTGGGCTAAGAAAATAATTAAATTAAGACCCAATTTTTCAAGTATTTTAAATAAATAAATATGTTCATTCATCTTCTTTTGCGTCGTAAATATTATAACATTAAGTACATACATTTTCAATTAATATTTTTCAGACTTATTTTGAATTTATTAATTTTGGAGTTCATTATTTCGTTAATACTCATTCTACATTTCCAAGCATTTGCTATTTATTTATCGTTCGTAATGAATGGTCTCATGAAAAATTGTCAATCGAAATTCTACTGTAAATCATTTCTACTGTTATAGAATCAAAAATGCAGTTATTAGAACTGTTTGAATTAAAACAACATGTAAAAGAATGACTTATATGAAGTTTTTAAAAATAATTTTCATTTTCCACTTACTTTCATCCAACATTTCCACTTTTAAATACAATTGTTCCCCTAGCTCAACTCCGTGTACTTCATATCCAGACGCATTCACTACCTTTAATCTAACTGGTGGTGTAGCTGCAAGACCTGTAATCACTTGGGTTAAGCTCACTAGGTCCCTGAAAATGAGAAATTTAATTTCAGAAACTGTACAATGAATAGAAAAAATTTTATACTTTACTCAATAATTAGAACAGTTAATTTTTATTAAGATAGTAAAGAAACACAGTAAAACTATTACTCCGACAGAAGAAGAGCTTTGATTCCCCGGATTCATTTAAACACTTTGTGCGTCAATAATAGGGATTTATTTAGAATCTTGTAAATGTTATTTTACACAAGCAAATCCCTACTTTAATTTATTTAGACCTAAAAGTTTCTGCAGGTTTTTCTTATATTTTTAAGAAATTTCGTATTAACACGTTGAATGCCACGCTAATTTTACATGGCTTGCCAGTCTGGCCAAACGGTAAATAACTGCAAACTAAATTTCAAATATTAAACATATTTTGCTAATTTTTTAAAAGGTTTAGCATGGCATATCTGGAAAAAGTGGTGAATTATATAAGCCTACGATTTGTTTAGAAATAGTGGTGGATAAAAATCTACTAAATTGAATTTATTAAACCAAGAATCACAATTAATAAACTACCACTTGAAAATATTTATTCACTGTCCGGAGCAAGTTGGCATCTCTGTGTATATAAATAAAACTATTTTTGTGCGTTCTACATTGCATTAATTTTTTCAAACCATTTTAGTAACGATAATAATGCAAAAAAATTAAAAATTTACTCGAATTATGTGTTTCTAATAATCTTGGCTTCATCGGTCAACGGTGACCCCCGTGGTGCTACGAACAAACTCAGTGCCGGTCACTGGTGACCCCCATGGCATTCAACATGTTAATGTTACAGTTGATAATATTAAGATTCAAGATTTGGTATTATCACTGAATAATTCTCGAATTAAATATCAGATCGTACTTTCTTTCATTGATTCGCACTTGTTATGCATTTTCTGTACCCTTGTGCAATTTCTAATTTCTAAGTCATGTAATTTAAAGTTAATGCTTAAAGTTATAAGTAGTAGAGAGAAAAAGTGAGAAAAAAATTTCAAAAAAAAGAACTTTGTAATAATTTTCTAATTTGTTAAAATTTCCAAAAAAATGTTAAAATTATAAATAAAAATGGACTCTAACACGTCAAATTAAACTTCATTTGAATTTTCGAGGTCTACAGCGCGAAAAGTATTTTTTTTACAACAAGTTTAATATATAATAAACCTTGGAACTAATTATTGGATGCTAATTTTTTTTATTTCATCATACGTCTTGTGCATTTTTATACACACCCTCGTAATTTCAAGTTTCATAATCCTATGAAAATCGTGCAACAAAGAAAAATGTAACGCTAAGTGCAACACAAAAGATAGTAGCGGCATTGCTTGCAATCTTTCAAAGAGATAAAAGATCGTGCGATACAGAGATATAAAAAAGATACGCGGAGATAATGAAAATAAAACAATAGAGAGAAAATGGAAATTTATTAACTCACCTACGGCAAGTTTAAATATGATTCATATCACTAAACACTTATGAAATTGTTAATTATTAAGTAGGCACCATTTAAAAAATCTTACTATACTTTAAATTAAAAATAGTAACAATGATTTATAATTATACAAATACTGAAACAATTTATTGAAATTGAATTATATAAGTTCACTGCCTAAAAACAGTGGTTTAACACTTCAACAATCGTAATTTTATTACTAAATAACATATTATTTCGACAAACTGTATGGATATCAGAACAATGAGCTATTGTTATAAACACGTCATGTTACTGAAGTTTAGATGATTGTTTATGAAAAATCATATATTGTAGCGTCAATAATTACTCGCTTAAAAAAAGCGTTGCTTTTATATAAAATAATATACCCTCCGAACAAACAGTTAAAGTAAATGATTGACACTGAAATATAAAAGAAATAGATAAACAATGGAATTTATTTTTAAAAAGTATCAATTACTAGCTGATACAACATCAAAGAACTTCCGTGAGTACAAACACAAAGCAATAAAAGTAACAATGTTTGTAAGTGATGAGTTAAAGAATATAATTTGAGCACTTTAACATTTCTTGCCTGGTTGCTTCGAATAAAAACTCGGTTCTAATAACAAATGTCCAAAGTTATCTGATTCTGATACCTCATGGAAAGAGAGATGATGTGTTTTGATAACTTCGACGGTGGGAATGTGAATGATTATGGAATAAAAAGGGTGTTTATTCTAAATGTGTTCTTAAGAGAAATCGTTTGAGTGATGTTATATTCGTCACGTGAATATATCAAAATGGTCTTTTGCTAGATTAAACGCCTTGAAATGTTCTGTGGTATTCTTCCTTCACAGTGATTGAATGCAAGGGTAGGTAAATACATTGAAATGTGTGTTGTTTCAGGTCGGAATAGTATATTATTGATAGTTCGTGTTTGTATTAGGAGTGCTTGATTATAATTTATTTAAATGCAGACTAAAAAAAAAACCTCATAAGTGAAGGCCTCANATAATTAAAAAAAAAAAAAAACTTTACGTTTTACTTTACGTTTCCCTAATTATCGGAAATATTCCGCCAGAAAATAATTAGGGAACACTTAAAATGTGAGCGAAATATAACTGATCGAATACGTTTGTATGATAATATGGTACGGGTACAAAGGCTTTCATATTGCAAATGAAGAAAATCGTTTGCATGATGACGATTCGAAATGTTTGCACTGCGACGGAAATGATAGGTTTCGGACTGTTGCGAATCAAAATTAACTGCACTATGATGACAATAAAGGAATCTTTCGCACTGGGACGAAACGAAATTGTTTCAACTGTGATGGAGTTGAAAGGATTTGTATTATGGAGGAACGAAATCGTCTGCACTATGACGACACAGTTGAAACCTACTATCACGTAACGAAATCGTTTGCATTATAAATAATTCAATCGTTTTCATTATAAATAACGATTAATCGTTTGCATGATGACGATTCGAAATGTTTGCACAGCGACGAAAATGATAGGTTTCGGACTGTCGCGAATCAAAATTAACTGCACTATGAGGGCAATAAAGGAATCTTTCGCACTGGGACGAAATGAAATAATTTTTATATTAAAACCGGTAAACTAACGGTATTCAAAAGTTACAGTATTGTTTATGCAATAATGAACTGTTTATTTAATGTATTAATTATGTTACGTTAAAAAAATCAACATGATCAATATTATAGAGCAATATTGATCATTGAACATATTTTTAAAAAAAAATATGTTTTAAAAAAATATGTTCCGTAAAAAGAAAAAAAAGAATCCGATCAATATTCTTTCTAAGAAGACAAAGATACGTTACATTCATGATAGTAAAAACATCGATGGATATTTAAATATAATTACTTTTCGTATGGTGTGATCGGCTATTTCCGTTATCGTGCAAAAGTAGCTTGATCTGCAGTTTCATATCTATAACTATAACGGTAGAACTACGGCTAGCTTCATACCATCATATTATCCTTCTTTAATATTCAATATTATCACATTAATTATAGTCTCATATTCATTATATTTTATGTATTTAATACTATTAGTTTCTAGAAGTATCTTATTTTTGTCTCATTACTAGAAATTATTTTAAATATATTTCTTTTATTTTTTGAACACCGAAAATATTAATGATGAATATTATAACGAAAAATTGATCATTAAATAAATCATTCATCGATTTGTTCTCTAAAAATGAATTAATATTTATTCAGAAACTTTTTTCTAAGATCTATTTCTAAGCTACACAATACCCGAATAACAAGTTGTTAAACACATTCGTAGTAATGTCATGAAAAAATAAAAAAGGCTACAGTCATGAAAAAAAAGGCTACTGAAAAAATAGGAATTTGTGTATGACCCCCAAGAAATGGTTATCCTTCATTCTCAACTTCCAGCTCATTCTCCATCTTTTAGNAAAAAAAAAAAAAAAAAAAAAAAAAAAAAAAAAAAAAAAAAAAAAAAAATTCTTCCACTTCAGGCTGAACTTCATCAAGGGAAAAAAGGGGTGATGGAAGGAGGGGTGGTCGTCCAATCGGGACGGTGATAATCCCGATCAATTTGCATGAGACGAAAGATGGATGCTTCGAAAATATGCCTTAGCACAAAATTTGCATTTTTATGCGAGTAAAGGACGCGGGCGACTTTATTTGGAGTTTTATTATGTCTCGATTGATAAGGGGAAAGAAGTATATTTTAAAGCACACGACAACATCCAATAACCCAAGTCATTTTTTTATTTTATTTTCAAACTTAACCACTTTTCTGAAAGTGAGCGTACTATTGTAATAAAGTTTAGTGCCTTTTTTTCACCCAGAAACCTATAAATCATTCACAACAAGTGAACACTTTATGCAACAGAAATAAAATTTTATTTAGTAGTCTGTTAAAACATTTTGTAAAATAAATATTTAGGCATCAATGGTACGAATATATCCTATATATATCCTATATATTTTACGAAATCTATAAATCATCCACAACTACTGAACGATGTATGCAACAGAAATGTTTGTACTCTTTTGCACATAGCATACTATAATTTTTACTATTAAATATTTTAAATATAATAAACATACTGATACATTTATATTATAAAAAAAGATTGAATACCAAATTAAATATAAATACTATTTATTTTTTTAAATAAATATTTGCAAAGGAATGGTACAAATTCCCTTTATTTAACTCTTATTCTATTCTATTCTATTTATTACTTTATTTGCCTATTTTTTGTAGTAAAATATGGCTTCCATAGTAAATTTTATACACAAGCAGAAAAATAAACACAAAATTGTGGAATATTAGTAATTTTAAATATAAACTAAGATATTCAAGAAAAATATCTTAATTTGCAATTTTAAGATACAGAGAAATTTATTTTTTTTAATTCTGAAGAATTAAAAAAGAGAATTTGACTGCAGAACTGAAGAGAGAGAGAGACTNATTTTATACACAAGCAGAAAAATAAACACAAAATTGTGGAATATTAGTAATTTTAAATATAAACTAAGATATTCAAGAAAAATA